CTCCGCCGCGAGCGCTCCTGCTTCTATTTCTTCGACGATGTCCTGGTCAAGGGGAGGGACTTCGATGCGCTGTTGCCGGTCCTAAGGGAGGTCTTCTCGAGGATCAGGACTGCCAAGCTCACCCTAAACCCGGAGAAGTGCCGATTTGGGTTCGAGGAGGTCGTCTTCATGGGCCTCCTTATCAAAAACGGAGGAGTGTCACCGACGAAAGATAAGATCGAGGCCATCTCCGAATACCCCACGCCGAGTTCCGCTACTCAGGTCAGACAGTTCTTGGGCCTTTGTGGCTTCTTTCGGAGGTTCATTCCCAAGTATGCGGCCATAGCGGCTCCCCTCAGCGCCTTAACGTCGACTAAATGCAAGTTCTCGTGGGAGGAACAGCAAAATTCAGCCTTCGAGGAATTGAAATCCATCATGCGGTCGCCGCCCGTACTGAGGCTCTTCTGCCCGAGCTCGCGAATCGAGCTTCACACGGATGCGTCATCCGTGGGACTGGCCGCTATGCTGCTGCAGCCGGACGCTGAGGACCGTCTGCATCTGGTTCGATGCGTTTCCCGAAAATGCAGTGTCACCGAGTCGTCGTATCACTCATCCAGATTGGAGCTTCTGGCTATAACCTTCGCGTTGGAGAAGCTTCGACCGTTTCTCATCGGCCGACAGTTCAAACTCGTCACGGATTGTCAGGCTCTCCTGAGCATCAATACAAGGTCAACGCGGAACCCTCAAATGGCTCGCTGGCTTGCTCTTATTCAAGACTTTCAGTTCCGCGTGGAGCACCGGGCTGGGACCCGAATGACTCACGTCGACGCACTGTCCAGAAACCCCGTGGGACAACCGCCGGTTGGTATCGAGAAAATCTATTGTGGTGTTACCGAAACGGGCGAAACGGAGTTCGACGGCTTCCTGGAGGAGTGGATGGCCGGGGAAGAATCCGCGGCGAGGCCGATCGGGATCCCTATCATCTACGACGACGAGTTACGAGCGGTCCAGTATGAAGACTCGTCCATTAGAAGAAAAATCGAAATTCTTGGAAGAACCGCCGAAGAGAGATCGCCCTCGGAAAACAGATTAGTGGAGTCGTTCGAAATCTACCAGGGCTTCTTGTACAAGCGCTTGCCGAGCGCCAGCCTTTTCGTCATTCCAGAAAGCCAGAGGAAGGCGACCGTGATTCGAGCCCACGATCTGCGCGGTCACTTCGGAGTGCAGCGCACCTGTGAGGCGATACTGGAGAAATGGTGGTTCCCCCGACTCAGGAGGTACGTGCGAGACCATATCCATCGATGCATCGCCTGCCTTTCGCACAGGAGGAACAGCGGGAAACAGGCCGGAGTGTTGCAAGAGATCCGGATACCCGATCAGCCCTTTGAAGCAGTACACGCAGATCACGTGGGTCCTTACCCGACAACCTTCTCTCAACGCACTCACATTTTAGCATGGTGGACCGGCTAACCAAGTTCGTATACCTCGAGGCGGTCCGCGATACGTCAGCCAAGGAGACTGTCTCAGCGTTTAGAAAAATTCACATCCGACTGGGGTATTCCGGCGCAACTAACAACGGACCGTGGTTCGTGTTTCACGTCGAAAACGTTCCAGAGCTTCACCGACCGATCGGGGCATTAAGCACCGACTAGTTTGCCCGCGGCGCGCTTCCGGGAATGGACAGGTTGAACGCGTCAACGGCATCGTGACTCCGCTACTGGCGAAAATGCTCCACTCAAGAAGAACCGGAAACTGGGACGTATACCTAAAACGAGTTCAGCTGCTGCTAAACACGTCGATCAATGCCGCTACCGGAGAAACTCCGATCCGCATGCTGTGTGGGTTCAATCCGGAAATCACCGACAGACATCTGAGCTTGCTCGTGCATCCTACGGCTATGACCCGAGAAAACCCTGAGCGAGTTCGAGCACAGGCGAAAGACCGCCTAAGAAAATCTTTTGAGGAGGCAAAAAAATACTACGATCGCCGGCATAGAATCGCCGAGAGGCTAAATCCAGGGGACATCGTTTGGTTCGCTGCGCCACCGCGTGCCGCCGACGGGACCTCAAGAAAATTGGACTCGCTCTTCCGTGGCCCTATGGTCGTGACGCGGGCTCTGGACAAAGATGTCTACGTCATTATCTCACTCGATCCCCGCCAGAAATACAGTACCGCGGCTCACATTAGCCAACTTCGTCTTTTCGGTCATAACACGAGCACAGCAAATGATGATTCGCCGTTCCTACCCAACGTCAATGATGTAGATGCAGCGATTGGTTTGGAATCTGGAGTTAGCGACACTCTTAAGGGCCCAGATGAGTTACTAACGATCTCCGAGACTATTACAGATCCCGCCCCCGATTCTCAACCGCCACAAGACCCTGACACTCTTGGCCACGACGCAAATCCGCCAGTCAACGATGACCGACCAACCAACCGCGAGGACGCCCTTCGGAATCAAGCATCAACCCAGCCGATGCTCCGACGCTCCGCGAGAACTCCCAGACCCAGAGTTATCTTCGACCCATCCGGATAGACTTCCAACTGTTCTTTTACATAACTCTCGACGCTAGAATAGCTCCAATCGGCGACGAGGTCGTCGCGTATGTCAGGATGTCCGAATGTTAGGGAAGGCAGTAGGTATTTCGGGTCTCCGGCTTCGGGCCGCTTGTAGGGTTGCGCGCACGTCGCAAAACGTCGCGCGCACATAGATTCAGTCAGACCAACATGTGCATCTACGGAAGAGTCAGTGCGTAGAAGAGACGCCGCGCACGAGGCGGGCGATCTCCGTGAGTAAGATAACCAATAAATTGTGACATTGTGCGATCGGACTAGAATTCTTTTCCGAACTCAGAGGGGTCCGTAACGGCACAGGGGGATCCATAACACATTCCAATCACAATTTAGAAATCTTTATTGGTCTGCTTATTTTTCAGTACTTATTCTGATACATTGATTACTTAACAACAATTCTTGAAGCTCATCCTTGTGTCATCATATCATTCTACATAGAACGCCGGGATAGACGATATTCTTAGCTTTGCCATCTGGGGTATGGACGAATAGATTCGATGGCTTACCGACTCTTGAGCAAGCTACGTAGAGTTGACCACGGGAAAAACATGGGTTCATTAATTCCGACCCGCAAACACCTGATGTTTGCCCTTGAGCTTTGTTTATCGTCATCGCGAAGGCTAATCGCACCGGGAATTGCAGTCGCTTGAACTCGACCGGAAGTTCAGTCGGTATCATCGGTATTCGAGGCAAGAGAACGATTTTTCCCTCTTTTCCGTTCATAATGACTGCTTCAATAACGTTGTTTGATAGAGCTCTTACCGCAAGTCTAATACCATTACATAGCATAAGTGAGTTAATGTTTCGAAGAAGGATGATTGGCACGCCAATTTTCAAGGTCAATTCGTGCGGCGGCAGGCCCGGTATATCGAGAGAATTTAAAAATTCAATTGGATGATTCACGGCCTCCTCTTGATTCAACATGATGTCAATCGATGTGTAGGTCTTCTCGTTTCCTGATATCTCATTTAGAATAGATGAATTGATCGTATTTACGTCATTGTTCGTTGGTGCCAGTACGGCCCGGGTGCTCAACCATTTGTGATCTCGGTGATTCTCTGTGATATTCGGAAAAACATTCTGGATCAGTTCCTCTTGGCTCGCTGTCAGAGTGCAGAAATTCTTCGGGAGGGTCACGGTCTGAGTGTCTCCGTTCGCTTGCATTTTCCCACATCCTATGTCCAACAATTGATTGGCGAATGTGCTGGCGGATGTATCATTATCTCTGAGGACTCGCATGTTAATTTTCAAGTATAACATCTTTACGTGGCGCAAAAGTTTCGACGCTTTTGAACAGGCGCCTATTTCATCAGCAGGTGTCGCACGCGGAATGACCGGTAGCGTTTGTCGAAAATCGCCCGAAAGTAGAATGAGAGCCCCACCAAAAAGATTCTCGTTATTCCGTAAATCTGTCAACAACCTGTCAAGAGCTTCTAGAGCCTCTCTGTGGGCATTCGTACATTCGTCCCATATGATCAGCTCACAGATTTGGAGCATTTTCCCCATCCTGGATTTCTTAGTGACTTTACAAATAGGGACTTCATTCAGATGCAGATCAAGTGGCAACTTCAATGCTGAATGAGCTGTTCGCCCGCCATCAAGGAGCGTTGCGACTCAAGCGTCCCAGTGAGCTCCGTTTGGGAGGCATACTCTCGCACCTCGCGACCGACGACAACAACCTCGACTTCGTTATCGTCGCCTCAAAATGGGAATCGTTGCTAAAGATACTGAACATCGTTGTCGTCGACAGACTCGACTTCGTTATCGTCGCATCAAAATGGGAGCTATCATGATCAAAGATACTGAACATCGTTATCGTCGACAATGTCCGCCAATATCAACAAAAAAGAGGAAATAATGGCAATCGTTCCATCCTTATGAAACTCGATGTGCTGATATCCTTCCCCTATGCGACACGTCTTCGATCCCGATCGAATCAGACCTACCGAACGCGACGTACGGAAATGTGTGATGTGCTGTGGGTCATTGACTACCATTTAATGATTACATTCCAATCACAATTTAGAAATCTTTATTGGTCTGCTTATTTTTCAGTACTTATTCTGATACATTAATTACTTAACAACAATTCTTGAAGCTCATCCTTGTGTCATCATATCATTCTACATAGAACGCCGGGATAGACGATATTCTTAGCTTTGCCATCTGGGGTATGGACGAATAGATTCGATGGCTTACCGACTCTTGAGCAAGCTACGTAGAGTTGACCACGGGAAAAACATGGGTTCATTAATTCCGACCCGCAAACACCTGATGTTTGCCCTTGAGCTTTGTTTATCGTCATCGCGAAGGCTAATCGCACCGGGAATTGCAGTCGCTTGAACTCGACCGGAAGTTCAGTCGGTATCATCGGTGAGCTCCGTTTGGGAGGCATACTCTCGCACCTCGCGACCGACGACAACAACCTCGACTTCGTTATCGTCGCCTCAAAATGGGAATCGTTGCTAAAGATACTGAACATCGTTGTCGTCGACAGACTCGACTTCGTTATCGTCGCATCAAAATGGGAGCTATCATGATCAAAGATACTGAACATCGTTATCGTCGACAATGTCCGCCAATATCATCAAAAAAGAGGAAATAATGGCAATCGTTCCATCCTTATGAAACTCGATGTGCTGATATCCTTCCCCTATGCGACACGTCTTCGATCCCGATCGAATCAGACCTACCGAACGCGACGTACGGAAATGTATGCGACCATGACAGACATACGCACATTTCTTTTTATATGTTTAGAAGAAGATAAAATCAAATACTTAAATACCAGGCAACATTCGCACAACATTTTCATTCAAGCTTCATGTATATTTGATCGATAATGAGCTCCGCTCAAAATACCTGTGGGGGATGCACTCAAGACGGATACTTTGGTTTCGAAACGTACGTGCATCACAATGAAGGAATTGCATCGAATTTCCAACGGAGGGTAGTTTTTTTTTTTTTTTTCGGTCCGAAGGACGAAACCATCGAACAGGCGACGGATCCCCCGCAATCACCCTCATGTCTACCGAACTAAGAACATCTAGACTTAGCATAAAATGATAAGTTTCACAAAAGGGCATCTTTTTTCCGAAAACTTCCTGGAACGGAATGCGGCCACGACGCGTGATAGAGACAAAGCACAGGACGGCCGTTGGGATTTCAAAATCCCTCGCTGATTTCGCCTGGACGGTGCCTACTCCGACGTCGCGGGTCGATCGAGGGCTGATTTTGAGATCCTTTCCTGAGAAGATCCTCACTGATACCACCGCTGTCGCTTTCGTGCGGAATTCATTCCCACTCAGTGGTACCGGGAGGCTTCGGAGTTAGATCGTACATCACGCGGGAGACACCGCTCACGTTCTGAATTTGCTCGACCATGTCTAAAATGACCTGCGGAGGAGACAAGTGATGTCAACAATCGGCGGGAGGAGTGGATTGAGAGGATAAGAATGAAAATTCATCATTACTGTGGACATATGGTCATGGAATGAATGCTCGATACGGGGATATCTACCTCCAATGGTAAGTGCTTGTTGGGCTGCGCAGGCACGCCAGTCATGAAGTCCTCAGTGATGAAGGTTCGTACGACGATCGACCTCTGGCACGAAGTCTGACGAGGATCACAGTTGAAATGAATGGGAACTATAATGACAGGCATCTGGGAAAGTTTCTTGGTGACCCCGTGCTTCCGCAACGTGTTCTGGGCGACATGATCGGCTCGTTTCAGCACTTGCAAGACGTTGGGTGTGAGGAAGGTTGGAGTGATGTCCAGCACGGGCTGTATGATCGGTTCGCCGAAGATGAACACGATTCGATTGATGTTGTGGCAGATTTTCGGCAAGAGCTTGGCGAACTTCATCAGCATCGACCAGTCTTCGGGAACTCTGCCGTCTAACGTGGACAGTCCGAGCACGTAACTGTAGGTGCGCTTGTCGCCCTGGACCCCAACGCTTTTGATAGGCAGCAGTGTCGGCGTCACCTTGAGTTTCAGCGACATTTCAGTGAGGAAAGCCAATTCGTCTTTGGTGCATGCGTTTTCCACTCTGTGCAGAAGAGAATGTTTCTTTTGGGACGCATGCGCGAAGTCGCAAATGACTTTACACAGCACTTGAGTCTCGCTGAAATCTTTCTCCATGTAGGTTCCTCGGCGCAGATGACACGAACAGCCAGACCGGGACCGGGAACGGGTGGCGCATGAGCAGCTCTTCGGGCAGGTCCAGGTCTCGGCCGAGGGCCCGGACTTCGTCTTTGTGGAAATCTTTCAAAGGTTCCACGACTCGTCCCTTCTCGCGGAGCATACGAACCAGCTCGGTATCGTTGTGGTGGGTCTTGATAGCGTCCGCGAAACCGGACGCCAGAGCGCTCGCGCTCTCGATCAGGTCCGGTCTCAGCGTGCCCTGGCCCAAAAATACGTCTTCTGGATTGAGTTCCAATTCCGCGACCACCTCGTCGGCGACCTTCATGAATGTGTCTCCAATGATCATTCGCTTTTCTTCGGGTGCGACGGTCTGAGTCAACACCTTCGTCCGTCGTTTACCCTTGCTGGGATCGGACCGATCGCAGGGCAACTCGGTTGTTCCATTATAGAACCTTTGAGAGGCGTCGATGACCTTGAGCTTCAGTCCAATCTTCTCCAAGGATTCCGCAACCTGGAAACTCTCGTCCTTGCGCATGAAGCCGTTATCGATGTGCAGAGCGATCACCTGCGATTCAGGTAGGGCTCGCCGCATGAGCGCCGCGCAAACCGTGGAATCTACGCCGCCCGATACGAGATTGAGAACTTTCGAGGAGCCGACTGTTTTCCGAATGTACTCGATGCATTCCACTTCTCTGCTCTGGAGAGTGAAGGATCCCGTGCATCCGCACACATCGAATAAGAAATTGCGGAAAATTTCTTTGCCCTTCGGTGTGAGATCCACTTCGGGATGGAATTGGACTCCAAATATTCGTTTCGATTCGGATGCGATGGCGGCTACGGTATCTCCCGACGTGGCTGTGACCGCATAACCGTCCGCGGCTTTCGCCACCGAATCCCCGTGCGTCAGTAGAGCTTCTTGCTTCGCTTCCAGCCCTGAGTGGGAAAAAAGACATTGGTCGGTTGGAATTCCGAGTCCGGACGAATCCGGAGGCACGTGAGCAATTAGACGTCGATATTCTCTTTACGAGTCCACAATAGGAAACCGATACTCCGTCGGGTCGTCCCGGACGGTTAGGCAGCATATCCGCTCGGAGAGACAGTCCGCCTGTCTAACGCCGTTCTGGCGGCGTCGCGATTACCCGTCAGCGTACGATACGAGTCGGGGGACAAATAACAATAGGATGATGACCTGTTCGACCAAGGCCGATTGCAATCGAAGCGGAGATAAGAGATTAAGATCTTGTGCAGAGAAACATGTTAGCCTACCCTTGAAGATGGCAGAAGAATTGTCTATGTTGATGGTGAACTGGCCGTCTTCTCTGTTGTCCTTGCGGGCTACGGATCCTCCGAACTCCTTGTTGATGAGCTGCATTCCATAGCAGATGCCGAGAACAGGTATGCCGCATTTGAAGATCTCGGGATCGTGCGTAGGAGCGTCCGGTGCATAAACAGAACCCGGACCCCCAGAAATGATGATGCCTGAAATCGAGGAAAGAAAAAAACTGAGATGACCGAGGGAAAAACATCTAGAGATCTTCCCGGAAAAATCTCGATTGACAGAAGCATGGTACGTTTCTTATCCTTTGTAACGTTACAACTTATGAACTATAACTGATGCGATTAGTTATAATTAGTGATGACACGTCAGGTTAAAATCTGGGAAATACCTTTGTACTTGGCGGCGACTATCTCTTTGGCGGTGGTGCTCAACGGAATGATGGCGGATTCGACGTTGAGTTCGCGAACTCGTCTATCGATAACTTTCCCATATTGAGCACCAGCATCTAAGATACACACGATATCGCTGTGCAGATTCCCGTTCATAATTGCAGCTCAAGTCAGCCGGAGTTTTTCCCGAGGCAGGGCCACTCGCGTCCTCGATGGCAATGATCCTGGCCTGGGCTCCGTGGGGCAAGCAGACTTCTCGAATTGCATGCGGCCGTGAGGCGAGGGTGATGCCGTATAATGATGCCGGCGTTATCTGTAAGATAGTGTTCGTCTAAAGATATAAGATTACAAGACTCTGATATGATGAGGCTTACAAGATCGTCACTCGCCACTCAAATATCGCATGCAGGCGCTACTATTGCGTCGCTGTACCCCTGTCGCGGACGCGTTCCATGGACCGATTATGACAAAAATATATGGAGAATTTGAAGGTTGGAGGAGAACAGTCGATTGTCGTCGGCCATTGTGTCATTGGGCACGGAGATTCCTATTCTCTCTCTGCAGCTCCTCATCGCTGTTCCAGTCTCTGATCCATACTGCTCCCGTCGGCATCGGAAGCGAACCAAAAAACTTTTTCAGGCTGATCCACACAGCCAAGGTTTAACGTCCCGGGTACTCTTATTCACATTGCTTCCGAAGACGGATCCATAGAGCAAATGTACCCAGGAGGATCAAGGCCGAGTACCTGCTTATACTTCGAATGTATATATCGGAAGCGAACCAGATTGGTTTTTTTCCGTGGAAGCGGTGAGGTTCAGAGGAAGGAGGGCGATGGATGACCCCCCTGGCTTTTCGATTTCCCCTCGGAAAAGAATATTGCCCACTGAATCAGGGATGATGCCTACGAGAAAAAGTCTCAATCTCGATTTCTCCCTATGGAGGAAGAAGAAGCGTCCCTTTTTTTTCCGATTCTCTCCCTGGAGAACGGCTGGGCTTAGAAGAAAAACGTGAAGGTGGACCCACCCTCATTTTCGATTTGACTCTCGAAAATGATGTCCCCACCTCTTTCTTTCGAAACTCAGAGTTTCCGAGAAGATCGAGAGTGGTAGTGAAGGATCGAGTGAGGCACCAACCGGTATGCATTGCTTCGAGGTGCATATCACGTAGAGATACCCCATCTCGATAGGATTCGGGGAATTCTGGAGAGAAGTCAATAGCGTCGACGCAACCTGATTATTCCCCATGCCTCTGATATTTTCATCCGGAACATGTTGTGGGGAGAGAAGTCCCCATCGGGCTTCTGGTGCCTGTTCCCGAATGCATCCCCTATGGATGTTCAGAGGTCCATATCCACGATGCCAGAGGCCCTGTCTCATCGGAGCATGAGTCGATTCAGCAAGACTCAGCGTGGAACACAGAATTGGGAGAATCTCTTGGTCAAAAGCCCAGGATGCCTCCAACGACCTCATGGGCGCTGCCAAACGTCTCGTAGCGATCCCATTCCAAATCTAATGGAGTGTATGGAACCTCGAGAGCAAGTCATAAGAACTCTGAGCTTCAATTTATCAGCGAGCCTCCGGCGAGAAAACTCCCTGTCCCCGTCAAAACGATTGTCCTCCTGGATCACCGGAGACCACCATGGTACCGGCATCAATGCCCGAGACGAAATCTGACAGAAATCGCGAATCCGATCTCTCGTGCTCCGAGCCAAGGAACACTAGCTTCAGGGAATGTGACAGAGCAGAGGGAGTGCTGTAGATCTGTCAGAGAAGGATTCTAGCGCGCACACTGACTTTCTCCGAGTCATGTTGATCAGTGTGGAGAAACCTGGGGCAGAACAAGCGGATGCTCACCTACTCGGAACTAGCGGCCAACGAATCCGTTATCCTAGCCCGTTTATCGTTTTCCTTAAATGGGTCCCACCGTCTTCGGAACTCTCCTCTGCACTTCTCATGGAGGATTCTCCTCCACGATTTCAGAACAGCCTTCTCTGCTGCAACATGGCGCTCCCCCGAAACCGGGAATTCAAAGCGGAGCTCGCCAAATCCAAGCGGTGCTCACGAGCACCCGGGGAATAATCGGGTTCTCTGCGATGGAGTCCCACCTGATTCTCGTGTGGGAGACAAGGTCTCATCCTGAAAAAATCCGCATTTTATTCCGCGATGTACCACCGCGCCGCTCGTCTCGAACCGCGCGGAGTCTTGCCTGAGGCAATGGATTTGCTTGTGGGGAGGGGGATGTGATCAAGACGGCAAATTCTCAGCGAGGGGTCAAGGTCGAATCCGCAGTGTCGTGATTCATTGGCTTCTCGAACTTCAGATTCCCGTCGGAAGAGTTTCCATGGTCGCTCGGGCTCGGAGCTCTTTCATGGACCATGTAAAGATCTTCGATGAAACCGAACATCCCGATCCTAGCTGCACGGTCTAGACCACATAATTTCAGAGGTTCAAGTGCATCATACATCATGGTCCTTGAGTCGGAGTCATATCAGCGTGGATAACAACAACGTCCCAATTTCAACAATCCAAAACAGTGTGGAGAGTGGACGTGATATCGGAACGTTCGGTTACGTCCAAGCTCCAATCATGCGTTGACGCCGGACGCAATCGCTCGGTATTTGCGAAAGTTCGCTACCCTAAATTCCGTTCGGGTTTTGGGACGAGTGCACACTCGAGGCCAAGCACTGGCTCGAGGGCCTAACCCAATTACGTGTTTCGCCCCGAGTCCGGTAAGGTTTAGGTCGCCTCATGGTCATATTTTCCCGTTTTTTTCCCTAACCTCGCAGGATCGGGCGTGTCGGAATCGGGCATGTCAAAATCGGGCATCCGGGACGGTACCGGTTTAAGCCTCGTCCAAACACTGATTACAGCGGCAGTCTTCCATAAAGAGATTGAGGAGCAAAAGCGAAGCGGGGATACGTCAATGAACGTCAGTTAGACCCGCTTATCGGGGGAAGGGTACCGAATATGGGTTCTGGCTCCTCATCCATTAGGTGAGCGACCCTCTCCGTAGTCATTGAGTGGTAGATTCGTTGACCGAGCTCGGACACTCAATGAGATGGGGAGAGACCACCATCCTGAGACGATGCAGTGTTCGCCGGCGGGGCCGGTGGACAGCCTTGGCCACTCTACGGCCTCACGGGGATGACCACGGTGTAGCTGAGCGAGGAGCGGACAGGTTGGAATGCCGCAGGATGAGCTCAAAGTCGTATTTTCTAGAGGCGGGGGTCTCGCAACAATCAATTTCAGAAGATTAAGATAGACGACAAGTTGGGTCGAGACTCTGATCGAGACCGATAAATTCTTCTGTTTATGGATTTCATTCATGTCGAAACTTAAAGTGCGTGCTTCCTCACAATCTCAAGCACAGGTCCCGTCTAGATCTATGGTTTCGCGAAGCTATCCCACCACTCGTCAGAGCTAGGAAAATTTCGTGGAGACGCCTTCGAGCACGAAGAGAATATAACTCCGGATCGCGGCGGGCCCACCGCGGAACTTACTCCCGAGGCGCCTCGCGATTGGGCCGTGGAAATCCGGCGAGCTGCAGAGCTCAAGTACACTACTCCCACGATTTCTGCTTCGGAGTGAGGGGTACTTCACGAAACATCTAATCTCCGCCGGAGGATTCGTTCCCCCATACCGGGAAAGGGTTATATGGAGCATCAGCCGTCAGCTGTCCGAATTTATTCGCGAAACACATGAGTCGGAAGTCGTGCTAATCGGAAGTCATGCTCCTCTTCTTCGAATTCACGCGCCACGAGCCTTCCGCCTGAGTGAGCATTCACCCCCACGATTGGACTCCGGAACACATCGGAGCAACACGTCGGCGTCGGCCGACGCTCCCCTGTCTTCGGAACTCGATGCCCGTCAGCGCTTGACAGCGAGTCTCGACTTGAGACCTGTGCATATTCAGGGAGGAGCATTGGGCCTCAAGTCGCGGCCTTCTCGAACCTAGTGAGCGCGTGCTCCCATGTTGCTATGCGAGAGCGGTTTCAGGATCGACCGCATCTCCAGGGAAAAATTCCTCACCTGTGTATCTGTTGGGAAGTCGAATGTCTGAAGTATCGACTGTCAGAATTTGTGATTCCAAGCTTTGTGCTCTAGTCAGGAGCTGGCACTGATTGAGAGTAGGGGTTTAGACCGCACGAGAAGTAGTGATGAAATACGCACAGGAATTGAGGGTAGGATACCGGATAGCGGACAGTCCTTTATTCTGTGTTTAACAGGTCCTTATGTACCTATTTCTAGAGTAAGGGACTTAGGAGAGTACCTATACTTGAGGATCACCGTCTCTATCGAGTTCTGAGATGTGGGGTTCTAATGATTCTAGAAAGCGGGTTGGAATGCGTATACGAAGCGGGAGATGTTAGATGTGCGCGGGGTTCTCGAGAGACGAGGATCCGGACTTAAGATGGGACGAGGGGTGTGCAACCACTGCCCCAAAAACCCATGGCCCCGAAAACCCATTGCCCCAGAAACCCAATGCCCCGAACATCCAATGCCCCGAAAACCCGATGCCCCGAAAAAATCGGAGGAGCCTCGAACACAGCGAAGCTTCTATACGGAGAGAAGCAGCCTTGCGCATCCGATCCGGATTCCGATCCGGATTCCGATCCGGATTCCGATCCGGATTCCGATCCGGATTCCGATCCGGATTCCGATCCGGATTCCGATCCGGATTCCGATCCTGTTTACGGTTGTCAACTTCGTATACGAAATCGTTGACACGGAGCAGAGGATTGTTCCACGACGACTGCAGAACTTCCACATTCATCCTTCATGAAATTATCGAGACCATACGATGCACCAAAGGAACGAACGTGTGATAACGATGGAGTTGCTGCATGCGTCTCCCAAACTCATGTTGTTATCGTTCACCTGCCCGTCGGGAAATGCAAAAACATTCGATCCCTCAATGCAAATTCCACCACTACCACTGACCGCGCGAGAGCTTCTCTCCCCATAGAAGCTTCGCTGCATTCGAGGCTCCTCCCATTTTTTCGGAGCATCGGGTTTTCGGGGCATTGGATGTTCGAGGCATTAGGTTTTTGGGGCAATGGGTTTTCGGAGCAGTGGACTGTCGCCGACTTAGGGGACATCTACATGAAGCGCTCCACAGCGAGACGGAGATGGCCATATAATAAAACAGTAAGGTCC